GGGGTGGGGGGGGCATTAACATCTCGAGTTCTTTTGCACAGTAGAATTGTAATTGTAAATGGGCTGATTAATCAATGTCATGCTCATAACTGTGCCTGAGCTGCAACAGGGAACCACTGCTTTTTCTTTCCTAATCCTTACTATCGTCATTTTCCCTCTACTTCTTTTTTTCTTTTTTTGCCACTCTCTTGTGGTTAGGATCTTGGAATCGCAACTGTAAGGCCGTAAGTTTGAATCCTGTCAGGGATCCCACGTTGTGTCTTTGGGAAAGGCACTTTACACGATTTTTCTTCACTTCACCCAGGTGGAAATGGGTACCCAGCTATAGACAGTGAAAGATCTTGTCAGTTTGTTAGTGTTTGAGCGCTGAATCAGCTGCTTGCACTGTATGTTTCCCGGGAAGCTGAGAATGTTTCTGAGTGTTCTACTGTCTTCTGTGTTATTATTATTATTTCATTATTATTATTATGACTCAGTTGCTGTCCTGGACCTTGGTGCCCGTCCGTCATCAGCCCTCTCCCTTATTATAAGTTTTTAAAAAAAATCTCTCCTCCATTGAAATGATTTTCGATAAAAATGAAAACCACACTTAGAAATCAATCCATAGCGTCATCATATCGTCAAAAGTGAGCAACTCAATGTAGAACTACCAGAAGAACGTGTCAATGTGTTGTATGCAATCCTTGTCTCTATACACCGATCAAAGATTTGTGCAATGGGGATGTCCTGGTCCTTCTACTAATGATGGCTGCATGCGGTCATTGCTTCAGCGTGCTCGTGTTCCGCGCCTATAATTGCGCAGGAATCTGAAGATTGCGTTAATATTTTATATTTTTGAAATAATTTGTTTAAAAATACACTTCCATTTTTATTCTTTTATTCACATCAAGAAACATTCACATACATTTTCCAAATTGTAAAAATATGAAAATTAAAATTAAGATTAAAATTAACATATAAAAATGAAGAACTCACAAGAATGATACAAATCCAGGTATCAAACTCAAAGTTCACAAAGTACATTTGATTTATTTCTTGATGTGAGTAAAAGATTAGAAATAAATGGAAGTGAACTTTTTAAAAAAGTTTTAAAAAATATATAAAATACTTTGTGAACATTGAGTTTGATACCAGACACTGCATCATTCTTGTGAGCTCTTCCGTTTTATATGTTATATATTTTAATTTTGATTTCAATTTTTATATTTTTACACTTTTGAAAATGTATGTGAACGTTCCTTGCTGTGAGTAAAAGAATAACGATGGACGTGTATTTTTTTTAAAATTAAAAAATATAAGATATTAACGCAATCTTAAGATGGCCGCACAATTATAGGAGCTTTAAATGCACAGCGCAATGCGCAGATCGGTAAATTGTGCGGAACACATGTATGTATTGTACAGGTTTGGCGCCTCTTCCACCACTGTAAGTTTACCTAAAAGGTGGCACCTCCGAACTTAACGTCCGTCTCTGATAGGACCGAGCCAGATAAGTGGAGAGCCCTTTAAAAAACAAACAACCCCCCCCCCCCCCCAAAACAACAACAACAACCAAAACCAAAAACAAAACAAAACAAAACAAAAAACAGCTAAAAAGCAACAACAACCAAACAAATAACTCCAGAAAATTTAAACGCACCCCAAAGACAACAAAAACAACAAACAAACAAAAACACCCCCCCCCCCACACACACAAAAACAACAACCCAAAAACACAACAAAAACAAAAACAAACAAAAAAAACAGCTGAAGTTTCGAACACCTCGCCCCATAGGGTTTGAACAAGACCATCCGCTCCGTAGCGCAACGTCATGATGCACGCTTGTTGAGCTAACGGTTCGCCCGCTTCAGTTTATAATTTATGTAGGCTCCATGTGACTGTGGTTTATCGTTTTTGAAGGACATGGACTGTTTTGAATGGTTAATTTGGTCGCTTTTAAGCACAAGGGGGCTATCCCGAAAAATGCTATTTTGAGAATAACAAAGTTAAAGTTTTTGCCCCTTGTTCAGTTTCTTAAAAAGACAAGGAGAGTCTTCTTGTTTTGTTTTGTTTTCGTAAAGTGTTTTACGGCACTCGCAACTGCATAAGGTCATATGAGCGCGCGGGACACACCTAATATTTTCAGTTGGTAGGAAATTTTGAATTTTGCCCGGGTGGCGGCCGAAGCCTACTCTTATTGATTTTAGACCACCAAGGGATCTTTAACGTGCGCAGCTTGCACACGGGCCCTCCGAGATTTTTCGCCCTTGTCCGAGAAGGCTTGGTGTAGATCTTTCCTACCAGAAGATCAGGGGTGTGGCAGAAAGACAGCAGTTAGGAGGAGCCAAGGGGTAGCAGTAGAAAGGCTGCAGAAAGAATCAGGAGCCCAGAGGAGAGGGCAAAGGAGGTGAGGGATTTGGGGCAGAAAGTGGAAACGAAAGCAGACAACAGAATATTGCTAGAGAGCAGGAAAGGAGGTGAAAGGAGACAATTTTAGAGAATTTCTTTTTCGGTCGCTACCCGGATTCGAACCAGGACCTTTGAATGAGAGGCCAACACATTAACCTCTAGGCCACGAGAGCCCCCAGAGAGTCTTCTCTATAACAAAACAAATATAGACACCAATGAAATCAAACTTCTCCTATAGGTAGGGCAATGCCCACTTTTGGTGTAGGTCAAGATTTCTGGAAACCCCTGAAATCTGGGTTAGACCGCTTGTCCTTAAAAGCGACCAATTATTCATGTGCTTGCTATTTTTCCACCTCCAACGTAATCTAGACATCTTCAGGACCTCCAAATTAACGACCCTTTCGGGTGGGTTAGCAAGAAGTCCTTATACGATGGAGAGTCAAAAAGTATATGCAAGTTGTTCGCTGTTTTTGCATAATTTTGCATAATTTTGCATCAGCTTTTTTATGACGTTCAGCTAAGAATCAATGCCTTTCACCCCTGGCAGGGTATAGTCCACATACAAGCTCCTTCCATTTATCTCTGTCCTGAGCCATCCTTCCAAGCTCGTTCATCTCTCTCATGTCCCTTTCCACGCACCTCCTCCATGTTTCCTGTGGCATACCATTGCCTCGTGCTCCCTGTGGGTTCCATCGCAGTGACTGTCTTGTGATGTTTTCGCTGGGCTTTCTGAAGGTGTGTCCCATGCATCGCCACTTTCTTAGTCCTATTTCTGCTTTTGTCCTGTCCGTTCCCACAGCTCTTCATTCCTTATTCTATCCTGCCCCTTAATTCTTAGAATACTCCTCATACATCTATTGATGGAAGTGGAGCACAGACTTGATGTTGGAGTTAAAGAGTCCAGTCTTGGTGCGCAGTGAAATGTTGCTTGCTTTCCAGACTTTTGATAATTGACTGAATGAATGCTGACCTACCTCGCCTTGGGAGCTCTGGCTTTAACATCTGCCTCTGTTCCCCCTTTACCATCGATGACACTTTCAAGGTAGGTAAAGGAGTCCACTTCTTCCAGGAGAGTGTCTTCCACTGTCACAGCAGGGCTGGAAAGTTTTTCTAGCTTTACTACTTTGTTCGGCTTACAAGTACTAGCAAAATATTAAAACTCATTTTTCTTTGATTTTTGCATAAATGGCGTCAGCTCAAAACGGCTGCCCTGTCTTAGATCCGTCAGAGCCAAAGGGCAGTGATTGAATTCTTTGTTTTACGAGGAGAATCCACTAGTAACAGGGCAATGACAAACAGTTATACATCCCGCCCCTACCCCCCCCCCTACACATTCAGATTCAAACACATTCAACAGCAAAATAATAGAGTGGTGAAGAAAAAGAGAGAGAGAGAGAGAGAGAGAGAGAGAGAGAGAGAGAGAGAGAGAGAGAGAGAGAGAGAGAGAGAGAGAGAAAGAAAAGTATATATATACATGGAGAAATATAATTTTATTTATATATATATATATATATATATATATATATATAGAGAGAGAGAGAGAGAGAGAGAGAGAGAGAAAACAAACAAAAACTGCATGTTTTGAAACTGACATTTTAATGAGCAATATTTTCTTAATTCAAGAGCACATTAAAAGATGATAGGAAAACATTCTTCGCCGAAGGAAGCTGGATTGACTGCAACTTTTAATGTGTAATATTTTTTTCATTCGAAGAGCACACGGGCATCTGGCAAGATTGAAAACAAAGATAAACAGGAAAGAGTAATGGACGGATATTATTTTCAACCAGGACAACTTAACAAACAATTGTAACAATTCTGTGAGAAGGCTACTTTCTTCAGGCGTATAATGAGCAGGTAGTTGTTTTGTTTTTTTGTTTTTTCTTTTTTCTAAAGGCTACCATAATACATTCCCGATGGACATATATACATTCTTGTATAGAGGATCGTAGGAGCCTGCTATAGATTATTGTATTCAACAAAGGCTACCAAAGAGGGTTAGAAGGTATAAATTCACATCAAAATGAATACATTTTCTTATCTAAAGTTTATACCAATATGACATCACATGAACTTTAATTACCAAAATTTTTATTTTTTTAAAATTTTAAAGATGACAAAAAAGCAGGGTATCATGTGAATTATGATGAGGCGATTGCTATCTTCCTATGTTCATTGTTTAATGTCGTTCTGTTTGGTGGCCAAAATAGCAACCTCATACGAATGTCTCTTGAAAACTTACTAGCGATTTTGGAGGTTGAATTTCTGCTGTTTGTCAGGACCAAAAAAAAATGCTGACATAACAAGAAGCGACATGCTCCAAAAGCTAGTGTGAGTTTCTGCTTGCCTTCCCACTTAAAGTTTATGCACCTTAGCATGACTTGTTAAATAGAGACATTCATCGATGTATAAACAATTTACAGAAGAAGACATGGATAACATGCCTTTCCACTAGCTCAAACACAGGGATATTTTTACTCATTCTCTCCACTGACGCACGCATGCATAACAGAATTAGGTCAGCAGTTTTATACCAAAGACACACACGGGGAAAAAGAAGCTGTTTACCGTTCAATGTATAAACGCAGGTTGGGTGCTGTCTCCAAGCAGAGAAAAACGTTTTATAATAAATGAGACCATACTCACAAAACATTACTGATCTTCATGTTATTTTGGTTTTGTATAAAGAATAGATGGTCAGGGGTTAAGGGGTGGGTTGGGGTGGGGGTGGAAGAAAATGTGGAAGAACTGGTTGAAGAGAGGTTGGGTGAGGGAAGGGAGGCGGGGGTAGGCTTTGGAATATAGGGAGCCTCTCAAACAAAGGAGTCATTCATGCAGTCATTATTGATTTCAGCGATCGCGTATATCGCTGAGGCAGTACATAATATTCATGTATTGAGTTATATGCAAAAACATTTTAGTAAACATTGCAGATCCTTTTGTCAGAGTTTTTCCCCCCCACGGGATCCGTTCATCAAAATGGACGATCTGAGGAGAAAGAAAACAGAAATAATTATTTGAGATTATTTTTCGAACAAGAGGGTTTTGTCTGTTAGAGAGAGGAAAAAAAGACAGGCAGGAGAACAGACTGAAAACAGACAAAGATAGAGAGCAAGACAGATAGATGGAAAAACACAATTCATATATATATATA